GCGGCACCCTTCTTGATGAGGCCACCCTTCTCATCCCAGATCTCTCTGTCAGGAGCAGTGTTCTCAGTGAAGATTACCTCCTGCCCCTCCTCCTCCGCCATGCTTTAATGGTCGGCAAAGACTGTTCTACGCTGAGCCTGAACAGCTTAAGCACATATCTCATCATAGATCATGCCATGGCAAAAGCAAACCTCTGCTGATTTTGCATGATGTGCACCCACATGCTGTCTAGACCTGCTGCCACCCCCGCCTGCATTGCATGCACATGCTGAGTATTGCTGCATCCATGCATGAGCACGACTATTTTGTCACATCGCCGATTTCAAGGAAGAAGGGCCCAGGCCCATAAAGTCCTACCTAGGATGAGCCTCCAGCACCGGTGCTACTCCAGCACCTAGATCGTATGCCCCTGGAAGCTCCAATCATCACACTTGGACTCCTCGAGCATCTTCCAGAAAGTGCTCTCCCACTCTCCGGTCTCCTCGTTCTTCTCCTTGATCCACAGCGCCACCTGCATCATGCGCCGCGGGATGTCCCAGTCACTCCACAGGGACTCAACGGTCTCGTCGTCATCCCGCGGGCGCGATGTTTTGTTGAAGAGAGGGCCCCAAGCATCCTTGTCTTTGCACACCAGCTCGATCTGCTCCAGCGAGTACTCCGGCTTCCATTCTTGCACCTTCTGCCGGATTTCTCCGATGGTGGTCTCGGCCGTGACAGGGACTGCAAACATGCCCAGTGTCGTCAGCACCTTCACTTCTGGGACGTGGTCTTGGTCCCTCTCTGCAATCTCAGCGGCACCCTTCTTGATGAGGCCACCCTTCTCATCCCAGATCTCTCTGTCAGGAGCAGTGTTCTCAGTGAAGATTACCTCCTGCCCCTCCTCCTCCGCCATGCTTTAATGGTCGGCAAAGACTGTTCTACGCTGAGCCTGAACAGCTTAAGCACATATCTCATCATAGATCATGCCATGGCAAAAGCAAACCTCTGCTGATTTTGCATGATGTGCACCCACATGCTGTCTAGACCTGCTGCCACCCCCGCCTGCATTGCATGCACATGCTGAGTATTGCTGCATCCATGCATGAGCGCGACTATTTTGTCACATCGCCGATTTCAAGGAAGAAGGGCCCAGGCCCATAAAGTCCTACCTAGGATGAGCCTCCAGCACCGGTGCTACTCCAGCACCTAGATCGTATGCCCCTGGAAGCTCCAATCATCACACTTGGACTCCTCGAGCATCTTCCAGAAAGTGCTCTCCCACTCTCCGGTCTCCTCGTTCTTCTCCTTGATCCACAGCGCCACCTGCATCATGCGCCGCGGGATGTCCCAGTCACTCCACAGGGACTCAACGGTCTCGTCGTCATCCCGCGGGCGCGATGTTTTGTTGAAGAGAGGGCCCCAAGCATCCTTGTCTTTGCACACCAGCTCGATCTGCTCCAGCGAATACTCCGGCTTCCATTCTTGCACTTTCTGCCGGACTTCTCCGATGGTGGTCTCGGCCGTGACAGGGACTGCAAACATGCCCAGTGTCGTCAGCACCTTTACTTCTGGGACGTGGTCTTGGTCCCTCTCTGCAATCTCAGCGGCACCCTTCTTGATGAGGCCACCCTTCTCATCCCAGATCTCTCTGTCAGGAGCAGTGTTCTCAGTGAAGATTACCTCCTGCCCCTCCTCCTCCGCCATGTCAGCTGGATGGATTGCAGGGAGAAGGAAAAGTTAACTATCAGCTGCGGGGCAGGCATCAAGACCTTTAAGCAGTTCCCTACCACTTGCCACTGTATTCTCAAAAGCCACGTGCACAAAGAGCCATTTACCATCCTAGCTTGGACTTTCTGTCGTTCTCCTTATGTTGTCCCGACTGCCATCCATACATGGCACTCCTCTCCTCTGTGCACCCAATGCGTGTGGAGGCTCAATGTAGGACCCCGCTGTTTCAAACTATTTGACCCAGCTTCGTTCAGCCAGCCCCCCAGGCCCCCGGCCCCCCAGCCCCCCCCCCCCCAGCCCCTCCGCACCTGCTCCTCCTCCATCTCCGCAGCCTCCTCTGCTTCCACCTCCTCTGCCGCGGAGGCCTCCGCCTCCGCCTTTGGCGCCTTCGGCGCCTTCGGCGCCTTCACCTTGGGCGCCTCCGGCGCTCTGCTTTGCTCCCAGCGCTCCCAGCGCTCCCTGCGCGGGAGCCCGGGCGAAAGGGGGGAAACCCCCCAGGCGCATGCATTGCAGGCCATGAAGAAATGGTTCAAGTGAAGGAAGCAGCGCAAAGTCACCATGGCTGGGGCGACCGGACGGGGGCCAAGGGAGCTTAGGAGGAGGCCATCTCCCCCAGGTGGGTAGGCAGGCAGGCGGTCCCTGATCCGGACAAAGAAAATGACTGGGGTAGGAACGCTGGCACATTTTCTTGGTACAGTTCCAAAAAACGTAGCACCAAAAATCTACCCCAACCACGGCCCAACATCAAATACCTTGGCCTACATCTGGGGAATCCCCCCCCCCCCCCGCTCCCTTTGATCCTCCAAAGGCTCCCCGCCTGCTGGCGTTCTGTGCTGCCTGCACTGCAGCCAGAGCAACTACCTCGCAACGGGCCAAGTGCGCACAGCACACTGCCTGGTACTGCTAACCCCGGATTCGTCAATCTGTCTGATGATTATAGGGGTGTTCCAACGAAGAGTAAAGGAGTTCCTCTTCCATCCACCCCCCATATGCACAAACATCTTGGAATTCGAAACACGCACATTCGTGGAGGAAATCATGCTTGGAGGATCCCTTGCGTGGATTCCATGTTGATTCTCAGGAAAGTTTGTTCTCCCTGCCAGCGTCAAACTGACGAACATATCCATTCTGTAGTTATGGCCGTCCGTCGCCTCCCTTCCTGGGCCAAGTAGCAACACATGCCAAAGCCAAGTTGCTCGTTCCGTCAAGCTACACAGCTCGGTGAAACCTTGATTATCCACAAAACTCACGCCAAACTTGGGATCAGTCCTTGGGCGCCTGTAGATTTGCCCAAGCGCATTCAAGCGCCCGCACCGCACCCCTTCACGCGCCTCCTCCCTCAACCTGACAAACTCATCCTTCAGGTTGAAGAGCTCCTCCTTAGCCAGAAGCAGTGCTCAGCGTGACACGAACGGCCAGACGGCTGCGTCTTGGTCACCGCCCACGTCTTGCAAGGTGCCTCTACAGACTCGCTGGAGGGCTTGCAAGAGCTTCAAGACGCTGGCCGACAAACATGAACAGCCCCCAAAACCCATTGACCCGTAGTCCGATTCTACTAACTCGGTTCTAAAGGATGCACAGGGGCTGCTAATTTGTACAACTCCAGCAAGCGAGGTACTGGAACCACTCCATGAACGCAGCTCACAACTTGCCTGTAGTGTGGCATCTCGGTGTCATCAAGGCCCCCGCTCCCATTCCCTCTTTCTCCTGGCCAGCAGTAGCCACCCCAGGGCCAGCATCACCCCCCCTTCAAGGACTCAGGACTATAAATAATTTGAGGCGTGGGCTTGATGGTTTGGATTTGCTGATTTGGTTTGGTTTGGTGGCTTCCCACTACAAAACCCAGGGCTTCCAATCCCCAAGCCAATCCAAACCACCTGACCGAGGTATCAAGAAGGTATGCCTCCGGGCCACCGCGTGCGCCATGCCCCGCGCCCACGCCTGCTCCTGCATATTCACCTGCGGGCATCCCTTCTTGGGTGCCCGAAACCCGGTGACTGCCCCCCTTGCAAGCCGACGAAAAACGACTCGAAGGCCACAGCAGACAACGAAGGAAGGCCAAAATCGAGGGAAACGCTGCCCGTTCGACTCCATGCCCGGCTCAGCCAGAAAAGCCCTCTGCTCCAGGCGCCAGAGAAAACAACCATAGACACCATGGGTTTGTCCCAAAGCGAGGATGAAACAGCTTCTGCATGCAGGGCTCACGTACTCAAGTTCGGTCTTTTCCCGGGAGCTGAAACGGCCGGGGTCAGTGGGTCAGAGCTTGCTGCGGATCTCGGAGTTGTCCATCAAATCCGACGAGCAGTCCTGCGCAGCGCAAGGATTTCTCCCGGATTAGGTGGATTCCCCAAAGGTTGCCGGAGAGCCAGGGGCTCGAAAACAGTGCTAGCCTACGTCTCTAGAAGATTCGCACCCTTCAACTGAACTCACGCAGTTTCGCACGACATGCAAAATGCGCAAGGCCAGCCCTGGCAACATGGGAGGCATGGTGGCTTGTTCCTGGTGGATGCCGTACTGCCGCAGGATCTCGTTGTGAGACGTCCTGCACTGCTCCGCGTCCAGCACGATTTCCAAGTTGAAGCCTCTCCGCCAATTGTTCGAGAGCGAAGGCTGAGGCTGATCGAAGGAGGGGTCACACCAAGTCCCAGAATGATTTTCCGGTCGGCTTCTTCATGCCTTTTCCCAAAATTAAAAGCAGACTGGTGGCCATACAACCGCAGACTGGGAATGTTGTCAGCTTCTCATGTCTGGAAACGCTCAAAAATGATGTCCACCCACTTCCAGTGTGCTCGACAGAAAGACCGCGATTCCCAACACTCGCTGTGCTCGCACCACAAAACAGAAGCCCGCAAAAGCTGGCGATGGTGGCAAAGTGAAGCACCTGTTCGACATGCGTTTAACGCCCTTGGGAGCGCAACTCGGAGTCTCTGGGCCCCTGGCTGAAACAGAAGCGAAGATATGCGGCTGGCCCACCTTCGCCTGAAAAATTGGCAACAAGCGATCTGGGGGGGAGGGGGGGCAAAACGAGGGGGAGCAGTTGTTCCCCTTCCTCCTGAAAAGGAGAACCAGGGGCAAGCACACGACAAGCACTCTGAAGCAGAGCAAGCTGCGGAAACTCTCAAACTTGCTGCCCTCACCTGTCGTCCCGGAACCCCAAAAAAACAACTTGCAGTCAAAGCCATGCCGCTGCCGACCAACAAAAATAAAAAGAGCTTCCACACCCAAACCTCCCTCCCAAACTCCCTCCCAAAGTCCCTCCCAAACTCCCTCCCAAAGTCCCTCCCAAACTCCCTCCCAAACTCCCTCCCAAACCTCCCTCCCAAACCTCCCTCCCTCCTTCGCCCCGCAGCGCCGCCAGCACCTCGGCCCTCAGCTGCTTCAGGCTTCGCACGGGCGCGCCGCCCGCGCCGAAGCGGAGAAGCTCGCAGCACTGGAACTCCTCGCGCGCGGGCGCGCGCGTCCACGGCGGAAAAAGCAAGCCTTCGCCACGTGGCCCGATTTCTTGGAACCTGTTTGTTGTTTTGCCGAAACCAACGATTTGTTCGGGTACCGGTTGCTTTTTGTTTTTTTTGAACGAAACCAGCGATTTGTCGTCTGTCCGGGTACCCCAAATTGAAAGCAGAGCCTTGCGCGAGTGCTCCAAACTATGTCCTTTTGCGGAAGCCCCCCGTCCACTCTCCTGATTGTGGACAAGGGGTGACGCAGACACTTTGGAATGGGAATCCGCAAAACAGCTCCTCGTAGCCGTAGTTCAGGTCGGCCGACAGCACTTTGGCCAAGACGACCACCTCCTGCAGTGTGAAATTCCCAGCCTTGCCTTGCGTGTCCTTTTTCAGGGCTCCCCACATCAACCAGGAATGAAAAGAAAGAGTGACGTTTGAAACCGCCAAAACGAAAAATGTGCGAGCCAGCAAAGCCCTGGAGCATGAGCTTTCCCACTCCGCCTGGTCAGCATGCTCCTTGTGCTCCTTGGCTGAGGCTGGCATCACAACCGTCCGCAACCCAAGTCTTGGCGATCATCGGCGCATCAATCGGCGGCACCACCAGCAAAACAAGGTGGATGCTTCTCACTACTTTGCGGAGCCTCTTCAAGGGGGGGGGGGGCACAGCTCAAACCAAAACGCCTCCCCGGAAAAGGCCTGTCCTTTTTTGAGGGCACCCTCTTTGAGGTTTAAAAGTGAAGGCCAATTGTGGGGGCCCGCCATGCAGAACCCGCCAAAATAGCGCCATGATAAGCCTGGGAAAAGCCCTCTCAGAAAGCCCATGCTCCCTGAGTGGATTGGCCAAAAGAGTCCCAAACTTTATGTTTACCACTAAAACGTGTTCTTCCCAAACAGCTTGAAGTCCAGGAACTCAGGAAGTGAGACAAGGCCATCTCCCCCCCCGTCAAGGCGCCCACAGCTTCGCCTGCAGCTCCGCCGGCGCTTTCCGCACCTCCTGCGGAGGTGCGAACATGGCCCGGCTGGGGCTCAATGAAGGCGGCGAGAGGGCAGGAGTTGGACCCTCTTTGGGTTGTCCTTTGGGAATTCCTTTGGGAATTCCTCTTCAATCGCTCTGCTTTTAGGTCTTTCAGAATTGAGACTTGGACCTGGAAGAAAGAAGTCCGCCACACAAATGGCCAGGGTCGGTTGCTCATTTTAACGGCCAGGTCCTTTTGATGTTCTCCAAACAAACCCCGACAGGGCGAGCGTGTCAGCTGCCTTTGGACTTTCTTGCTCGATGGGTCTTTGGATAGCGCGCGCCGAGCGCCTCGGAGAAGCGCGCCAGCAGCCAGGGCAGCGTGAGCCGGGTGAAGACCAGGCCCCCCACCACCAGGTAGGAGGGCCGCGCGTCGACGCCTCGCAATGCCGAGCCTTCGGGCCTTCGGGCCTTCGGGCCCCGGTGGGCTCGAGCGGGAACCGGTGGAATCCCACCGGTTGGCTTCTCCAAAAAAACTCAGGGCTCCCTTTAGCGTGCTTCCTTTCTCTAGGCTCGCCTTATACAAACCAAGGGGGTCCAACTTGAGAAACTCGCAACATGCAACCAAACACCCCCTGTCCTGGGTCAAAATCTGGCGGGAACTCTCCGACTCTGAGCCCGGAAGTCCTTCGTCCCAAAGCCACCAAAAGACATGGGAAACGGCTGAGGGTGTGCAAAGAACGATGGATGCAAAGAATGAGGGGAAATGAGCAACTAGAAAACACAAATATGGAGAAAATAAATATGTCATCAGTAGCATACAGAAGCCATCCAGCCATACATGTGCGTGTGTAAATATACCTATACATTTATATATATATATATATATGCATTGATATATTATTTCTTTATTTATTGATTTATTTATTTGTCTATTGATTCAATTCATTTAGATATGTGTGTGTGCATAAGCTCTGGAGCAATGGTTTTTCTGTCCAGCGAGACGAATGGCCTGGCGTGCGGGGCACCAGCTGCGGCAGCGGCGCCGCCTGGAGCTGCAGCTCCTGGGGGGGGAAGGGGGAGGTTGGGGAGGGGCGGAGGTTAGGGGGGAGAGGGGCGGTTTGGGGGGGCGGTTTGGGGGAGGGAGGGTTGGGGGAGTTGGGGGGGGGGGGAGTTTTGGGGTGGGGAGTGGCGGTCTTTTGGGTTGGGTTGGGAGGGGAAGGGTCGCCGGATTTGGAGTTGGGTGTGGGTAGGTTGGGTAACCCCAAGATGGGTTGATTTCCCGATCGGTAAATGGAAACGAGGAAAGCCTGTGGTTTTCTGGTGGCAGAATTTGACTCATGGCCCATACCAGTTGATGAATGTACGGGCGGTGTCCATCGAAACTGCCAATGTGACTTTTGCTGTGGATGTTTGCTTTTTGGACACCTGGGCTTGAGACGGAGTTTGGATTAAAAAGTAGTTGGACACTTTGGCAAACATCGTTTACATGGGGATGCATGTCCACGGTTCCCGTTTAAAACTCGTTCTATGCCCATGTACAATGGTTCCTAGCCTGTGTCACCCACAAGGGTGTATTGATTTCTCTTGATTAGGTCGGTGTCTCATTCAAGAAAGACATGAGTCACATACGTACATACATACATACATAACATTACATTACATTACATTACATACATACATACATACATACAATACAATACAATACAATACATGACATGACATGATTATTACATTACATTACATTACATTACATTACATTACATTACATTACATTACATTACATTACATTACATTACATTACATTACATTACATTACATTACATTACATTACATACATACATACATACATTACATACATTACATACATTACATACATTACATACATACATACATACATACATACATACATACATACATACATACATTACATTACATACATACATACATACATACATACATTACATACATACATACATACATACATACATACATACATACATACATACATACATTTACATACATACATACATACATACATACATACATACATACATACATTACATACATACATACATACATACATACATACATACATACATACATACATACATACATACATACATACATACATACATACATACATACATACATACATACATTAAATACATTACATACATACATACATACATACATACATACATACATACATACATACATACATACATACATACATACATACATACATACATACATACATACATACATACATTTCATTACATACATACATACATACATACATACATACATACATACATACATTACATACATTCATACATACATACATACATACATACATACATACATACATACATACATACATACATACATACATACATACATACATACATACATACATACATACATACATACATACATACATTACATACATACATACATACATACATACATACATACATACATACATACATACATACAATACATTACATACATACATACATACATACATACATACATACATACATACATACATTACATACATTACATACATTACATACATACATACATACATACATACATACATACATACATACATACATACATACATACATACATACATACCATACCATACATACATACATACATACATACATACATACATACATACATACATACATACATACATTACATTACATTACTTTACTTTACTTTACTTTACTTTACATACACACACACATCACATAACATAACATACCATAACATAACATAACATAACTTACATTACATTGCATTGCATTACATACATTACATTACATTACATTACATTACGTTACGTTACGTTACGTTACGTTACATTACAGTACATACATACATACATACATACATATATCTTTGTAGTAGAGTATATATATATACATATATATATATATGTACGTGTAAGTATGCATTAGATGTGCGCATGCGAGCGTGCGCTATGTATGTGTGCACGTTACGACGTTAGAATGCTATTGGCAGTGCGTACGTGCGCTCTCCATGTTCACAGGTATGGAAAGGCGAGCGACCCTATGACCAATACAATGCATGGCAACGCATGTGTAAAGTTCAGCATCGCAAATGGGAGGTGTTCATGCCCGCGCCAGGATTCTATTCCGCTGCCCCGTCCGTCCTTCTCCGCACCCCTCCAAATTTGCAAGCCTCGGCACAATGTGCGCTTCGCGCTGCGCCCCGCGCTGCCTGTCCCCCTTCACTTCCTGCTCTTGCTCAGGTTTTACCCATGCGAAAACAGGATGCAACCAGACAGCTGCCTGGCAGCCAGCTTTGATCTCAACGGCGAGCAAGCCCGGAACCTCCCACATGAAAGGGCTACACCCAATTCCGCTCAATTCGAAGCCATGCGGCGCATGGCGTCGCCCGCCACGCGCCGGGAGATGAGGAAGTCAAACCTGACCAGGAGTTCCCGTATCGACCCCGTGTTCCTGCAAGGCTTGCCTCATGGTAACCTGCCCCGATTGCGGAAAGCCAAATGTGGCCCCTGCCAGTACAGTAACTTGTCACACTTGGGCATAACAAACCCATCTTGCAAACCGTTCCAAAAAGAGGCCACGACGATGATCAACGCTGATCGTCTGCCGCGTGAGCTCGGGTGGTTGGCACCAGCACCACCAAGACCATCGTTTCCCCCGCCCCGGCCACCCGACCAACGGCTCACACAGACTCCAAATCGCCCGCAACCACTCCCCCCTCCCCCCTTCCCTCCCCCCGCCCGATGCGCTCAGCGTCCCGGAAGGGCACGGTGCAGTCTTCCGCCACCGGCACCCCATCCACGGCGAGCAGCACATCCCCTGCCTGACGGGCGACTGAGGCAGCCTCGTCAAACAGAAGAACAGGGAGCACCCACCGCAAAACAAAATTTAAAGGCGGGACCACAGAGCACAATACCGAGTGGTCCAATTCGGCAAGGGAGTGCACCAAAGCAAATAACATGCAAAAGGCAGGCCAATAACAACTGCAAAAACACAGCACTGCGGGAAGGCTGGACGGAAACGCAGGCATGCCTCCACCCCGGCTGCTGCTGCTGCCGAAAGCGGCGCCACTTCCGCGATCAAAGCACCGCTGCCTTGATCCTGACGATTCCACGGCCAGCTGGAAGCAAGCAAGTCCAACTGACTGGTACATGGCTCCCTCAGGAACACTTGCCATGGCTATGAAGTTCATGACAGACTTTAATGCTCAAAAAGATGTCTTCTGTCCTTCAGCATCCGAGCGGAGCCACATGGGTCTGGGCATTGAGGCTTCTGAAGTGGCGGAATATTTATTAGAGCTGGCCACCGCTCTGCTAAGCCTCGCATTTTACGCACAGCATTCCGGCCCGAGCTGATTGAACATCGAAAAGTATCCCCTCCAAATGCTTGGGGAGACGCGACAAAAATCCCGATTCAATCATGCCCTGGTCTCTTACACCAAATAGATGGCACCAACAAAGAGCCAAACTCAAACCAACGAGCACCATCCATTTCCAACATTAAGTGACCGAAAAAGGACCAATAAAGAGGCCCTTCAACCTTCATCACGGGAGACCTTGTTTTTGCCCTCTTTCCCCATTTCCCCTCTTTCAATCATGTGTGTCAGTGGCAGGAATGACGAAGCCAAAATGAGTTAAAATTGAAATCGCCAGCTACTTTCACCCAACTGTACCCTTTCCCTCTTTCCCCTTCCCTCTTTCCCCTCCCCCCACCTCCCCCAACCCAGCTACTCCCCCCCCCCAGTCCAGGCCGCGCACGGCCCGCAGCGCCGGCGCCCGCGCGGGCTGCAGCCGCACCCCGAGCGCGCAGAGCGAGGAGTCCATGGCACCCCCGGCGGAGGCGGCGGCGGCTTTGAGGAAGAAGCGGACCACGGAGCCGGGGATGACGTAGCCTGACGGACGAGCGTGACGAGCTCCCAACTTCAATCCACAAAAAGCATCGGTCAAGTTCAATCCAAAAAAAATGGTGGCTTGGCGTTGGAGTTTGGAGCTTTGCCTCAACAACCAAGGGTTCAATTGAAACCCAAAATGTGGGAAATGTCCTGAAAGGCTGGTATGAATGCAGAATCCAAAAAAAGAAGCAAACATGAAGAGCAATCTCCTTTTGAGGCCCCTTTTTTGCGTGGTTCCATGCTAATTGAGGCCCCCTTGGGAAAGAAAGGAACCTACTGAGAAGGGGTCTCTCCAGACTCTGAAGGAAGCTGCGTTGCTTTTAGCGGCCCTTGGCAAAATTGGCGACAACAGATCCATCAGGCCTGACACACTCTTGAAACTCCACAATTGTTTTTCACTCTCAATCACCTCCTCGGCATCCCTGCAAGGCCCTTTTCCCAGGCCAGGCTGTCCAGCACCAACGGCAAGTGATCCACAACACTTCAGCGCTCAATATCCATGTCGAGCCTTGCTCCCAAAGAAAGAAAGAAAGAAAGAAACAAACAAAAGCAAACGCGGCTGAAAGCCGAGCCAGAGCCAGAGCCGGGACAAACGGGAAGCTTGCAATTGCAACCAAAGCTTTCCAAAACCCAAAGCCAAACTCAAAAAAACGGCCAAATTAAATTCCAACAAGCCGAAGAAAAAAAGAAAGGAACAAAAAAAGGAAAAACAAAGAGCAGAAACAATTGACCTCCAGCACCGCCTGTGGAGGCCTTCCCCTCATGCCGCGGCGCCGATGGACGCGCCCTGGCGCATGGCCGCGAAGGCCACCCCCAGCACCCGGCCAAAAGCGTCCAGCACCGGGCCCCCCGAGTTCCCCGGGTTGATGGCCGCGTCCACCTGGAGGGGTCGAAACCTCCAGGCGGAAGGTACAAAAACCTGGTGGGGTCACCTTGGGGGGTGTGACAAAACCAAGATCCCTACCAAATGTCTGGAGGTACCTGTTTTGGAGATGGGGCCGCGTTGAAGTGGGAAGGGGAGCAAAAGTTCAAATTTTGGCAGTCAAGTGGAGTTGGATTTCAACCACTGAACCACTATCAGAATTTTGGCAGTTCAGTGGATTTGGAAGTCCACCACTGAACCACAATAAGCCAAAATGCAAAATGTTTTCCAGCAACAACCATGATGGGGTCGAGACCGAAGGCGGGAGGTACAGAAACAAAAACCCAGATCCGTACCGAAGGGTGGGGTAAGGTTCACCTTGGATGGGTGGGATGGGTGTGAGTTCAATTAGGGCGTCTTCCGGTGGGCAGCATTTTGGGAAGCCATTTTGAATTCCTTTACACCATCCCAAACACCCAAACAGTCAGCTTCCTCCAGTTGGTACTCTGGAGATGTTCTGGGGTGGCTTCCCATTTACCCTCTGCGAGAACCAAGGGTTCGAATCCCCAGACCACCAATCCAATCCACAACTAAGGGT